CCAGCCCCCACCCCAGCCCCCAGCCCTGCAGCCTGGCTGTCCCTAGACCAGCCCCGCAGCCCAGCCTGCCCCTAGTCCCTGAAGGTGCAGAGCCGGTTTGCAGAGGTTAACTACACTTGACACGAAGTAGCTCGAGACTGCACAAAGTTTGTTTAAAGTTTATACATGGTAACATCACAACAAACACTTGCTACCATGGAGACAGGGTCCAAACAGAGGCCAGCGGGCATCCGGGGCTGGCGTCGGGCCTCCAGCCACAGCAACGAGCCATCAACAGAGTGAGTGACCGGTGATCAGGCTTGTCACAGGGTACAGCTGGCCGCACCCTAGGCAGGGCAAGGACGTCGTCGCTGCCCGCCGAGCTGCAGCCAGCCACCTCCAGCGACCAGGGCAGGCCCTGCTGCCTCAGGGCTTGGGGCTGGGGTCCCACAGACTCCAGGAAGGTCCCAGCCTTGGCACAGGGCAGGGGTGCTGATCATGGGCCAGGCCATACCCCAAAGTCACACTCTCCCAAATGGAGAACTGGCGTGTGAATGACAGCAGCCTGGAGCAAGAGGTGCCTTGCAAGGGGACTGGGGGAGGGGAGGGAGTGAGAGAGAACGTGCAACAAGAAGGGATGAAGCCCGATCTGTAAACCTGCATTACAATCACCAGGAATATGTAAAACAATCACAGTGCCGTCTGCCACTCCCTCCAACCTGCTGTCCAGCTCTCTCCCCCAGTCCCTCCAGCAGGACCCTCACACAGCCGTCCTGGGCCCCCAGCAGGGCCACCACCAGCACCCCAGCCCACTGTCTATGCTCACTTCTCCAGCAGGACCCCCACACTGCTGTCCTGGCCACCAACCACCACCTTGGGCTCTCAATGAGCTGGGCACCCTAAAGCCACAGCTCCCCAAGCTAGCACTCCACCTCCTTGGCCTTCTTACCTGCCTGGACTCACCTGTCTAGTGTACTGCTCTGCTTGTGTGCCTGTATGTGCGTGTACATGTGTGTGCACATGCCCTGTGTGCTCATGTCCGAGTGCAAACGTGTGTGTGCGTGAAAGCGTGTATGTCGTCTGAATGCTGGGTAGCTGTGCTTGCCTGCCCACTTGTGTGTGCCCAAAACCATGTGCACAAACACATGTGTGTGTACATGTCTGGTGCCCATGTGTATATATGTGTCAGATCTCATCTGCATGTGTGCACATGTACTGTGCTTATGTGTGTGCCAGAAACCATATGCATGTATACATGTGAGCACATAGCTCATGACCATGTACACTAGAACCCATGTGCTTGCACACGTATGCATATCCTGTGCCTGTGTGCCTTTGTGTCCCTAAATTGTGTGCATGTGTGCATGTATGTGTACATCTGTCCTGTACCCTTATGTACGTGTGTGCTAAAATCTGTGTGCATGCACACTTGTGCATACAGGTCTCATGACCACATATACGTGTCAGAGCCTCTGTGCACACACGTGCACACACACCCTGTGATTATGTATATGTCCCAGAACATGTGTTTATGTACACGTGTGTACATACTGTGTCCACGTGCGTTCAAGAATATGTGTGTACACACATGTACACATCCTGTGCACGTGTGCATGCCGGAACCTGTGTACAGGTACACGTGTGTGTCACATACCCTGTATCCATGCATGTGTGAGAACCTGTGTGCAGGTATATGTGTGTGTTCACGTATCCTGTATCCATGCATGTGTGAGAACCTGTGTGCAGGTATGTGTGTGTGT